GCTGGGCGCAGGCCCCTGGGCAGCGGAGCCAGAGGCCCGCGGACTGCCTTCTGCAGCCCCGAGATTTGAAAGGACACTGCAGTGTCCCCAAAGCCTCTCACGGGGGCCAGCTCTGGGGAAGGTGGCATTAAAGGCAGGTGCCAGGGCAGGCTCAGCCGTGGGGGGTGCGGTGGGTGGGGGTGCCCAGCGGACAGGGGTGCACGCCTTTGTTCTGCATCTGAAGGAAACAGCCCTCGGGCTCTGCTGTGGGGTTACATAAGACGGCGCCTCTAATGTCACCAGCGGGCTGCCTGGCGCTCTCGCAGGGCTGGGCACAAGGGCATCATTGTTGAGCGAGTGACAAGGACTGCGCGCCAGGGGCCAGCCCGCCAGGATGTGCGGCCGCCGCGCCGCAGGGGCCAGGCCGGGCCAAGCCTGCGCAGCCCAGCCCACGTCAGGCCACCCTCAGCCTCTGTCACCCCGCGGCCCGGCCTGGCATGGTCGCGGCTGGAGAAGCAGGAAGGTGCCGCTCAGCAGGCGGGCTCGGCTGGCCCCGTCCTTTCTGGCCCATAGGCTCGGCACTAAACACGGGAGTCTGGGGGTTCTTCCTGGCACCCCTGGGTCCAGAGGGGTGGGACTTAGGCAGGGAGAATTGGGAGCCCACCTGGGTGACCTCTCGGGGGTCACAGCACAAGCCCCCCATTCTTTTACTCTGCTCCAGGCGGAGCCACATTTCATGTCTCCCTGCAGCAAAACTCTCAGGAGCAGCTGAGCTCCGTCCCCACCTCTTCCCCTCCCGTTTCTCTTTGGACCTTTCCTGGGAGAAGAGAAGGAGGGGGAGGAGGAGGAGGGAGCTGAAGGGAGGGGGAGGAGGGTGCAGGAGGAGGGGGAGGAAAGAGGGAAGGATTCCAGGACACAGACTGCTGGGCACCCATCAATGTGAGAGCGAACAGCCCAGAGCTGAGTGAGCAAGAGCAGAAGCGAAGCCCCCTTGGGGTCCAAGCAACACGCTAGCCAGACCGGGCAGCACCCAAAGGTCAGGGAGAGAAGCCTGAAGCTCGCCACGGACCATCCACGATGGATAACCCACCATGAGGTCAGGGTGACGTCGCCGGAGTGTGACGAGAGACAGGTCCGTGCCACCTGTGCAAGGGCCGAGTGTGGGAGGAGAGCACAGGTCCTACCTGCGTTCAGTCTTGGAGGGGCGTCCGGGGCCACAGGGCTCCACCCCTGGTGGCCCTGGGTTTGCCGCCCTCAGCTCGTCTTCTCAGGGCATGCTGGGAGGTGCAGACAGCTGTCGGGGCTCCCCGCCCACTGGCTGAGGTCGCCAAAGCCGCCTCCTCTAACAGCCTTGAGCAGAGGTGGGTAAATAACCGCGATTGACCCCCACTTAACTAGTGCAGTGACATTAAAGCTACTCTCCCACAAATCCATTGCCTGACGTGAGCCCAATCAATGGTGTGGTTCAAATGAGAATTTTTCAAGATCTGCCTTCTGACGTAGTTTTCACCTTCTAAAGATGCTTGCCCATTCGTCTAAACACTTTGAAAGGAAGGAAGTCCTGTTTGGAAGGAAGCCGAAAAGTCCTCTTCAGGTGATGCTCGTTTCCTCTTTGGCAAACATTTCCCCAGTTGGCTTCCTCGGGGCAAGCGGCCCAGGCAGCTAGAAGCCCAGTGGAGGCTGCCGTTGGCCACCGCTTGTCCAAGGAGCCAGAACTGAGGCTCCCCTCTGCACACTGAGAAGCTTAAGCCCCCCATTTCCAGGCTCCCAGGTTTCCATCATTTGAAGAGGAGAAAGTAAAGGAATAAATGCTTGAGCTTGTCGCCCCCTGGCGGCAGGCACTCGGGACTTCCTCCAGTCC